AGTAGTGTCTGCCAATGGAACTGGTGGAATTTGGTTCCCTTTTTGCACCTCCAAGAATAGCTAAATTTGTCATAACCTAAGGGAGCTTGAAGGTTACCTAAGGACTGGGACCAACCCAGCCTGGCAGCAGTATCTGGTGGCATTTCATCCACAGTGATTTCAAAGTACCAGGCACCTTTCCGTACCCCATGAGAGGCCCGCACCATGGAGTAGCCTTCTCTCCAACCACAGTCAGTCGGTCATCATCGATTGTCAGAGAAGCTAGTGGGGAGGTGAGTTAGAGTCAGAAACATTCTACTCCCCTGCTATTCACAGCTTGATCCTTAGGCATCACCTGGGAATTGTTAGAAATGGGAAAATCTCAGTCCCCACCCTGATAAGCAGCCTCCATCTGCAAGTACCACTCTGCTCCATTATTTTGCTAGGAGCAGGCACCTGGGAAGAAGGTCTGGAGCCAGGTGTTTCAGTTGTAGGCTTTTCTGGAAAGCTTCATCCGTCTCTGGGAGAGCAGCAAGAAAATATTCATGGAAGAAATGAGTTGTGACTGCTGGCTGAGAGACAAAATCAACACAGCTTCGGTTGGAGTCTCTGTCACCCAGACTGGAGTGCAGTGGCACGCTCCCGGCCACCGCAGCCTCGACCTGCTGGGCTCCGGCCATCCTTCCGCCTCAGCCTTCCAAGTAGCTGGAACTACAGGCGTGCGCTCCCACGCCCGGCTAAGACATCCTTATCTTTTCCACAGCCTCAGCTTCAGCCTCCTGGTCTCAGGTGATCCATGGATGCAAACTTGATTGATGTAAGTGGTGGTTTGGAGACAGAATCCTCTAATGGAAAAGATACACTAGAAGGTGCTGGGGATACTTCAGAGGTGATGGATACTCAGGTGGATGAAGAGAATGGTCGGCAGCTGGGAGAGGTAGAGCGGCAGTGTGGGATATGTACCAAGTGGTTCACTGCAGATACATTTGGCATAGATACCTCATCCTGTCTTCCTTTCATGACCAACTACAGTTTTCATTGCAATGTATGCCATCATAGCGGGTACACCTATTTCCTCCGGAAGCGAGCAAACTTGAAAGAAATGTGCCTTAGTGCTTTGGCTAACCTAACATGGCAGTCCAGAACACAGGATGAACATCCGAAAACCATGTTCTCCAAAGATAAGGATATTATACCACTTATTGATAAATACTGGGAATGCATGACCACCAGAAAGAGACCTGGGAAAATGACTTGGCTAAATAACATTGTTAAAACAATGAGTAAAGAAAGATGTATTCTTGGTAAAGGAACACCCTGATCCTGGGAGTAAAGACCCGGAAGAAGATTACCCCAAATTTGGACTTTTAGATCAGGACCTTAGTAACATTGGTCCTGCTTATGACAACCAAAAACAAAGCAGTGCTGTGTCTACCAGTGGGAATCTAAATGGGGGAATTGCCACAGGAAGCAACAGGAAAGGAAGAGGAGCTAAGCGCAAGCAGCAGGATGGCGGGACCACAGGGACCACCAAAAAGGCCCGAAGTGACCCTTTGTTTTCTGCTCAACGCCTTCCCCCTCATGGCTACCCCTTGGAACACCCATTTAATAAAGATGGCTATCAGTATATTTTAGCTGAGCCTGATCCCCACGCCCCTGACCCTGAGAAGCTTGAACTTGACTGCTGGGCGGGAAGACCTATTCCTGGAGACCTCGACAGAGCCTGCTTGTGTGAACCGGTTTTGTTAGCCCTACATGATCGAGCTCCTCAGCTGTTGGAGATTTTAGCATCTCTCTCAGCAACTGACAAAATAAGCAGGCAAAACAAATTCAGTGAAGATAGAAATTTGATTGACTCAATTACTCAGTTTGACCGAATTGACATTTATAGAATAAGCACACAACAACTGGAGAATACACATTCCTTTCAACAATCATTTGGCTAGACCATATGCTAACTAAAAGGAAGTCTCAACACAGATTATTAAAATCACACACGGTGTATTTTCTGATCACAGTAGGAGTAAATGAGAAGTCAATAAAAGAACGATAACTTGAAAATCCCTAAGTACTTGGAAGTTAAGCAGCATACTCCTAAGTAACTCATGGGTTAAAGAAGAAATAACAAAGAAAAGAAAAGAAACAATAAAGAGAAGAGCATAAGTCAATGAGATAAAAGCAAATATATAGTAAAGAGAATTTAAAAAGCTTAGTGTTTAACTTGGTAAAGCCTTAGCAAGACTTATCAGGAGAAAATACATATTATTAATAACAGGAATAAAAGAGTAGGGAGCATCACTATATATCCTATAGATATTAGTAAGATAATAAGAGGGTATTATGAATAGTTTTACAACAATTAATTCGACAATTTGCATGAAATGAATAAATTCTTTGAATGACATAACTTCCCAAATTGCCAAACAAAATCCAGAAATCTGAGAACTCCTACATTTGATAAGAAAATTGAATCCATAATTAAAAATCTCTCCTCAAAGAAAGTGTATGGCCTAGACGACTTTAACAATGAAATTTAAAAATATTTATAGAAGAAATAATGCAATTTTATACAAACCTTTCCAGATAATAGAAAAAAAGGAAACTTTTAAACTTGTTTTATGAGGCTAGTATAATCCTAATCACAAACCTGATGAAAACGAAATGAGCCAATATCTCTTATGAACATAGACACAAAAATTCTCAGTGATATTTTAGCAAAGTGAATGTAATTATATATAGAATTGATAACATATATGATCAAGAGGGATTTATTTATTTATTTATTTTGAGTTGGAGTCTCACTCTGTCGCCCAGACTGGAGTGCAGTGGCCGCTCCCGGCCAC